GGAGCCCTTCTTCAGAGGCCTCAATCATCTCGATGTATTCTCCCTGTTCGAGGGTTGCTCTTATTCAGGGGGTCGTCTATCTCTACATCCATATCGACATCGACGGCAATGTCAGTTATGATGATATTCACAGTGCAAGGCTCGAACTTTTGCAGGGAGTTAAGGTAACACTTCCTTGATCATATTTGGTCTCTTCGGACCGTAGCAATACCGTGCTCGGTAGGAAACTTCATGCATAAATGGTGAATCAAAGTGATAGGCCACATCTCCTTCAAAGCAGATCTCCCTAATACGCCATGGTAAGTAGATCGATGGTCTACCACTAAGAGTTCCATGAAGTGGCGAGCCATGAGATGGGTTGTTCCCATTTCAACAGCCAATGTGATTCGTCCTCGCAAGACGATGTTATCTCCAGTGAAGCCATATAATGGGTCGGTCATGGGAATAAGGCCATGATCGATCTACATTTTATCAAAGGTGGAGCTGAATGGTATGTTCACTGAGCTTCCATTATCAACAAGCATACGCTTCAGTCTGTTCCGAGCCACAACCACTCTTACCACCAACGCATCATAGTGGAGGTAATGTACACCCTGCGCATCGTCTTGGGAGAACATAATTGGCCCCACTCTATCCACTTGTTGGGATTAATTAATAATGTAATTTGTCATATGGGGATCCTTCGCTTCTCTTGCATAGCTTTGTTGCGCATTTCGAATGTTGCCACGCATATGGGGCCCTCCAATGGTTGTGTCGATTTCACGGATTTGCTCGCCCTCAGTGGCTACAGCCCGATCCCTCATCTTTTTGGATTCTCCTTGGTTCCTATTCTCTATTTTCCTTCTCCTCCAAGGCGTGTAATCTCTTTGACACCTCGTATTCCCGTTGGACAAGGTGGACCATCGGGGATTCTTATGATTATCATCTTTTCTTGAGGGGTAAGGGTTGCCTCTCTGCGAGGACCAAGGTGCGTCCCAACATTCACTAGTGTCATGGCCATAGAAGCAATGAAAACTGGTACTGAGTTCAGCTTGGCAGAAGAGAGAGCCTGCTCAAAGATGGGTGCTACACTGTACCCAGGTTGGGTCTATTATTAGGTGGCGAAGTGTGCAGCAGGTCCTCGCCCTACTTGTCTCTGAGGCGATGGGAGTTCCTTTGCTACACAATTTCAATGACCAATCATCTCTTCATTGATGATTTCCACCAGTTGATCATAAGTGGCTGTGTTCTGCTCCACGCATCTCACGAAAATAAGGTGTTCATATTTAGGCCTTTCAAAGCTGGAAGGGCCACCCTTTTTGTGACTTGTTCGCAGTAGGTTATCTTATCAGTGAATTTGATGAGGTAACTCTTAAACATCTCTCCAAGGGCTTGCCTCATATCTTGCAAGCGTTGCACTAGGGCATCTCCTTCTCTTCGTGACAAGTATTGGTTCAAGAAAGATTTCTTCAGGTCGGGCCAACTCCTAATGCTCAGTGGTGGCAACCGATTGTACAAAACTTCAGTTGCTCTGACTAAGGTCAAGTGGAAGGCCCTGCACTTTAATGCTAGTGAGGCTCCTCTTAGGCTCATTGCGTCATGTATTTGTTAAGGTGTTTCTCTGGGTTACCTTTTCCCTCATACTTAGGAATTTTAGAAGGCATAAAGTTCGTTGGCATTGAGAAGCTTCGAATTTCTCTTGAAAAGGGGATGTTATCGTCATGATCATCTCTCATATGGACAAGGCCCTTTAGAGTCGTTCCCATTTGGTGCATTTTGGGCAGGAGGCTGAAATGCTTCCCCCTCAGTTCTCCTAATCCATTAAGTTCCTCCTCTCACGCCTATTTCTAGGCGGAGAAGGTTATGCCTCTTGGTTCAATCCTTGTTCTTGCTGGGCTGACCTTTAGACAGAGTGAACTCTGCTACTTGGATTTTGCCCTATCCGACCAAAAACACTAGCCGACCTATGGGGCTCGTATTATGGCGGAAAGTTCTCTCCTAAATAGGGATATGCTGCCTGTGGGCCTGCCGCATACGAATAGACATCAACCCTTACTTCCCTTTCAATAGAAAGCTCTCTTTGGTGGCTTGAGTGGCCTTGACTATTTGATGCAGGAAGCTGTCCCTGAGTTGTGTGAGACCTTTCTGGCATTTGGAGGCCCTGCTGGCCTTGGACATGTAAGAAGAGTTTACAAAGGATCGTATTCTGGGCTGCAATGTCCCTCATACTTCAAGCCATCTGGGCTAACTCTTTAGTTAGCCTTACGGTCGCTCCACCACCTCAGGGATGGCGATGATGAGGTCTCTAGTGCGTGACATTTGCTCGGAGCACATCTTCTTCAAAGGCGTCCCCCATCCTTCTAGGATTAACATCATTGCTTGAACTTATTTTAACTCATTTTTTCAAAGATGCTCAAACTAGATTGCTAGCTTTCACTTAGTTCTTTTTCAAGAACGTCATTTTTCAAAGGGAAAGCTTTTCTTTGAATTCTTCAATGGCTTTTTCCGGTAACAAACAGGAAACACGTTTCCCACAGACGGCACAAATCTGTTGATCCTGCGAATTGGACCCCCGTGGCCAACAAGAGACACTCCACGTGTTCCTTCCTGTGCACAAAAACAAACAGTTAGGCGCATATGGTTGGTACCAACGGTGGTGGCGGCGGCCACATATACTCTGACGATCAAGTCAGTCGACAGTGCTGGTAACGGTGGTGCCAGAATGTGCAAACTTAAAGGGGAAGGAGAAAATGTAATTGCTTGGTTGTGGAATAACAGGTACATAATACCTTTTTTTTTTTTTTTTAATTTGTCTTTGGCTAAATCCTTGGTATTTAAAGGCAAAGGGCACTGCTAGATGCGAGACGCGTGTATTCATCGACGATATGATGCGTCTGCTTATAGGCATCTATCAGTTGCTTCTTAAGTGGGCGAGCAATTAATTCTTCTAATTGTGAGTTGATGTTTGATAGAGACACCAATCATTCCTAAAGATATAAAGACAATCTTGACCAAAAGATCCGTTTGTGAAACTGGCAGGGGAAAGGTGCTTCTCCTCTTCTCCGTTGCATAACGCCTTGATCAATTTCACGCTTCGAAAGCGACGCCTCGAACTATATCACTTCGGTGACATCACGCCTCAGTGTAGTTTTCGGATGCGCCTCCTCTTAGCTAGCCGAACCTCTTCACACACTTTGACTGACGTCTGGAACAAACGTGCCGAGGTGCAATATGAGGGGGGCGTAACATTAGTAAACAAACAAAACAAAATATTTACAATAAAGAAATATGACTATTTAATTGGAACAAAATATTCAGAAAAGTTAATTGGACAAAGAAAATTGAAAAATTCACATTCGCAAGGAGTGATTAAAGACGTGAAGGACTTTGTTTTTGTAGTTGGTAGATGGTAACGGAGGAGTGGGCTAATCAATCGTTGACCTGTTCTTGTAATGTGTGTGTGTGTATATGTATATATGATATTCCTATGCCTATGCCTATGCAATGGATGCTTTGAATATTTTCTTTTTCATTTACATTTCTATTTGTTTCCTTCGTGCCGCCCATCAACTTTTCTTTTGGATATTTTCTCCCCTCAATTAAAAAATTCTACTAAGAAATCGTAGATTGAGGAAAGATCAGTAATCTTAGTTTCGATGCATTTGTTTTTTCCTTTTGCTCTATTGCATGCAAGAATTTTCTCGATGGAGGACACAACGTTGTTAATTTAGTTACGATGTTTGCAGTAGTAGACTATACTACTGAAAATAAGATAAATATATAAATATTTTAATGTTACTTCACTAAACTTTTTTGGGGATGCCTAACAAATTCAACCACATTTTGCCAAACCCCACTTTTCTTCATTGGGTTCACCGAATTAATATTATTGGCCTACACAACATGGTATTAGGTTTCTGAAATTCAGAGGTTGCTTAACAACTATCAACATTTAAATTTGTATTTCCAAGATTTTTTATGTCAAGCAAGTTTATTATGGAAACTCTAAATCATTTTTTTTTTTTTTTTGACGTATATGGATTATTGAAAGGCATACAGATACTATTAGGTCTGTTTAGCATGACTTTTAATTTTGTTTCATGTAGAAGAGATTTTCGAAAAAATTACCTCAAGTTTTGCTCGAACACTATTTTTTGAAAGAACTACTTATTCTGAAAGTACTTTTAGAGAAAGTCACACTGGATCAGTTATATCTAAAAACTATTTTAAATAGAAGATGCACTTTTATAAAATTAACCAAACAGATCTAAAAGCTACTTTTGGATTTTAATAGCCATGCCAAATGAGCCCTTATACACTTCATGAAGTCGTCTGACGTAATTTATTTGTATGTTTATAAGAAATTTGCAGGGAAAATCCTCATATCTTGGATTGGTTAGTAGTTTAGTCCCCATTATAGCAAAAATATTTAAGTGGTTTTGAGTTTTATCACAGTTAATTACTCATTTCATATTATTAGTATGAATTCCGATATTAATTATTTAAATTTTTGTTCAATTATTTCGGTTACTTAAAAATAGAAAACAGTTTGTTCAACTAAACAAATTGCCTAAATTAAGACAGGGATTGTTTAGTCTTGAGACTTTTATTATAAAATAATGAACTAATATTTTCATTAAATATGAAATTTAATCCTTTGGTCGGGTAATTCCTAAACCAATTTGGAAATCATCAAATAGAAATGAAATTTCAACAAAATTATTATTCACTATGTACTAATCAGGTTTCCAAGACGAAGCCTGAATCTTTGTAGCCCAAAATTTAGTTAACCTCATTTCACCTGTGTTAATTTTTTATTTATACTCCAATTTCTTATTTTGGTCCCCATTTTCTAGAACTCATTTTTCCCTAATAATCCAACGAAGTAAAAGGCTATGCAACGGAGAATAATGCAAAGAAATGGTTCAAGCAAAAGACCTTTAGTGCATGATTGTTAGATTGAACAAGATGTTGACTTTTTTTAGTACTTCCAAGTGCAAACAAGTCTTGCATACCAAAATTTATATCTTGAAGATGACATGAATTTTATTTTTTTTCATGTAAATTTTGATTGTAATTGTCCAATACNGCTCCAATGTCTGCTCAGTCAGTATGACACGTTCGCCACTCAAATTCCCATCAGAGTTGTCAGCTTTAACTCGACATGATCTCAATGAACGTGATTGGGAAGGGTGCCTGAAAGGCACTGTTTTGAACAAATAATATTAATCCACCTTATAGCTAACAGAAAAAACGAGATCGTTGTGCATGGATATAACATTCAGTCAGCAAGACAGATTTCCAAAGAATATCTATAGTTGCAAAAAAAGTGATGCATCAAGACCAGCAGAACCCAGAAAGACATCTGATTTGGGTGAAACTCAATAAACTAAATAAATAATCAAATGTATTTGGATAGAGACAAAAACTGTGCCAATCTTTTCTAATAAAGTTTGCTCAAATCCCAAATAAAGGAGGGAAGTTCTGCTAGGTTGACAATCCAAGTAAAGAGAGAAGCACTATAAGGATCATATGATGAAAGTTACCAAGTTATAAGGGAAATTCTAGGAAATGGATCTCAAATCTGCCATGGTATGAGGCAATGAATGTTGAGAAGAAAAAATATGTAGAAGATGAATATAGCAAAACTGATGATGCTAACATGGATGTGTAAGCACACAACGATGGATAAAATGAAAAAAGTTAAGACTATGTTTGGCTAAGCTTAAAATGTTTACTTATAAGTATATCTTAATCTAAGTACTTTTTTATTGTTGAAAGTTTATAATAAGTTTTATTTTTCCAGTACGGTAATTGTTAAATAAGGAACTATTTTTACTTAAAAGTAAGAAAAAATCATGTTTGGAAACATAAAGTTACTTAAAAAAACTCATTTTTCCATTTTAAGTTCACATAGATACTCTCCAACAAGTGGAGGTAGCACCTATTGAACATAAATTAGGAAAATAACATCCTAATTCCTAAAATAGCTTAGATGTATTTTGCCTGGGCCTAAAAAACTCTCGTCACAAAAGCAGCATAATTCCTATTTGAACAGAATAGTACAAAGAGAGCCAAAATTGCATGAACTGAGATATGTGAGAAAGACTTCATATTGTAATATCTTTCAGACAACTAATCACTAAATCGAAGAGAACGATGGAAAAAAAATTAGCCACATAAAATTCGGAATCATTTTAAGAAATTGTTTCTTTCTATCTTTTTACGCTGATATAATTACATCAGCGAGTCCAGAAACACATAGCACAATACAAAACTCCAGCATCCACATGGAATGGTCTAAATCCTCTATCCATTAGGTTAAATGCTTAGATATCTCCAAGAGACTCTTTAAACATGAGATT